TTTCTAAGCATCTATGTTACGAATCTGCACACAGTAATACTGTGTTGAGATTTTCCTTTTTATCACAGAATCTTTCTGGTAGGCAAACAGGCACACTGCCGCACAATAATGTTCCAGAACATTTCGTTAATTGCATAATCTTATCAATGAACTCATTGATGACACACTAGACATTTATAAGCATCCTATCGTCGTGTATGGTCGCGATATTCTGAGGGGTAGCCTCATTGAAGCCCCATTAGCCAATTGATAAGCATCTGTTAGCTAAACATACACTCACACATAACTATTGTTGCGGGACATTTCTTAATTGCATAATCTTACCAATTAATTTATTGATGTCTGCTTTTCGCCTTGGGCACATGTTTCATTATCACTGTTCGTATGAATATTGTCATTATTTTTTGAACGACTTTTAATATCGCCGTGTATGGCCGCACCACTGAGGAAATAGCCAATTGTTCTGTTGCTCAGTTTTAACAAACGTAACCATTGAGATAATTGTACGGATCAATGAGTAGGACATCTCCAGAGTACTGTGTTGACAATTCCGAGCATAAGTGTTCGCATATTGGAGTGTTTTTAGATATTAAAGTTGCTTAACACAGAAGAGTAGGAGTGGTTCCTTCCCAAGTTCATGCCTCATCTTAATTATAACTGTATCCTGCGGTGAGATCTGAATTCTGAGAGTGACATAAACACACTATAACATAATCAGCAAAAGTTAAAGCGAGAATAATTGTTTAATCACAATTGGTAAAACTCCCCGAGACAACGAAGCCTAGCCTAATTAGCACAATTGCATAACTTCATACAATTACACATTTGCCATTTTCATTCAATTTATTTTTTATTATCTTTAATATTTTTCAAGATAATATATACAACAATAAGGTGCTTCAAAAAATGTCAACACTTATATGGGACTATCGTTTTTAACGGGAAAAGAACGGATAAATACAATGTAACGTGATAACAAATGTTCGTCAATAGCTTCACAAAGTCAAAGAGTCTCCCACTTGTTCACCAGCGTTGTCAACACGTTGCCTGGAATCTTCTCCAGGTTGTCTCCAGAGCCCGGAGGCAGCACATTTCTCGTGGTATTGTTGCAAATTCTCACAAGTTTTAATATTTTTTTAAGCCACCCTGTGCAGTATAAATTAGCATTATCAACATCATCTTCATCATCAGCACCACCGCCGTCGTGAGGCATGAAGAGCGAGCGAGACGATGTGGAGGGATGATGAGTTGTCGATCAACCGTGTTTAGTTTTGTCGTCTTTCCCCGCACCTCTGATTAGCGCGGTTGGCGACGTACAGTGCCAAAGAAGTCCAACGTACACGCAAACTTTCATACTCTATACACTGCTGGATCAAGCCATCACCTTCAACGTGAACGAATTTCATGCTCCAGCTCCTCGGCAGCCCCTCCATCTTTGACGCATTCCCTCATTCGACTGAGTAATCCCACAACAGACTGATTCCGACAATGTAATCCTTAATCATAATGTAGTAATGCTGTTACTACATCTTATGTAAAAATGTTATTTTTTGTCTGTCTGTGTGTTCACGCGCTTGCAGGGATTTGACTCTCAAACAGTGGGTTTTACGTAAAAAAAAGATGAGCCAGGTACCACGCCGTAAGACCCGTCGTTGGCAAGCGCTATTCCTTTTTCACGTCCGTCACCTTCAAATTAGTTAAATTAGCGATTTAGTGAGATTTTGCTATATTTAATTATTTTTTACGCGGCTACGACCGTATCAACTCACGGGCATTTGGTGGGGGGGGACGGATCCTGTCAAGTGACACGGGTTCGGTGGGGGTGAGGGGGACATTTTCCTTTACGCGTTGACAATGCAATAAAAATAAAGGAAACCATACTCTTTGGTTCTTTCGGTAAAGTTGAAGTTATGTCTGTTTATATATCTGGATGGCTTCATGAACAAACCTTTGATAGTAGCCAGAAGGTTTGCAGAGCACCTTGGTCTCGGGAAAAAAGCAATATAATGCGAGCCCACAGCGTTATAACAATGGTCAACCATGGCACAGTTATTGGCTCTGCCGCGTTTCAGATCTGCCTTGTGTTCGCGAACACGATCCGAGACATGTCGTTTCGTTTCCCCAATGTAACTACTACCGCAGATATAACTCAGTTTGTAGACTCCAGGATATTGCATGTCAGGAATTACATCCTTCACTAATGGGATTACATCAGGGATTTTGTGTCCTGTATTGAATCGGACCTGGATCTTGTGTTTAAGATTTTGGAAATATTTTTGGTAACACCTGCTATGTATGGTAACGTGATGGTTTTGATCGGCTTCTCAGGGGGTTTCTCCATGGTTGGAGAAACAGCTTTGCGAATAATGCGGTCCGAGTACCCATTCATCTTGAGGGCCTGGTGTACGTGTTTCAGTTCACTGGCTAGGTGGTGTTGGTCGGAAATGCAGTGGGCCCTATGTTATAGTGTTTTGATGAGGGAATTTTTCTGTGCCGGATGGTGATTGGAGTCCGTAGATACTTATATTATAGTGCTTAGATAGCATTATTGTTGCACGGGCAGGAGGATGGTGGGGGGGGGGGGGGGGCAGGGGCGGGTGCGGGGGTAGCGGCCCAGCCCCCAGCTGGCAAGGTGCCACCTCAGCCGGCTCGGCAATCTAGGCCAGGACGGGGGCTCCGCACGGGACTAGGCCTCACCACGGCTATGGTAAGTACAATATCGTTGCTTCTTATGCTAAAATCATGTACGTATAAAACTGTTATTTTATTAATCACGTTGGAAAAAATCTAATATTTTTGTTTGTGTGTTCACAACAAATATTTACTTTGTAACTTGGCCATTACTTTCATCTTCATTATTGTGTCAACTCATGTTCAAATACACCTATTTTATAAAATATCACCTTGCTAATATTACATGATTAATCTTCACTTACAACTTTCGTGACTGCAGGAATTCATATTCTTTTGCTCTTTCTGTTACGCCACGTAGCTAGAAACATTTTTAAAAATATTACATATATCGCGCAATGCCATACACACCATACAAATCACACAATACAATACACACTACCATACACACCATGGTATACACACCATACCATACACCCAATGCTATTCAAACAATACCATACACACAAAACCATACACACCATTTTATAGACACCATGCTATACACACAATACCATACACACAATACCATACCCACTATGCTAGATACAATACCATACACACAACGCCATGCACACCATGCTATACACACAATACCATATACACAATACCATACACACCATCTTATATACACCATGCTATACACACAATACTATACACAACATGATTAATACAACACCATACACACAATACCCGAAACACCATGCTATACACACAATACCATACACACCATGCTATACACACAATACCATACGCACAATACTATACACACCATGTGTGTTTCTGGTATTGTGTGTACGTTCGTGTGGTTATCATGGTGTGTATGCTATTGTGTGTATGGTAGTGCGTGTGTGGTAGTGCGTGTATGGTATTGTGTGTATAGCATGGTGTGGATAGCATGGTATGGTAGTGTGTATACCATGGTGTGTATGGTATTATGTGTATACCATGATGGGTATAGTAGGGTGTTTCTGTTATTTTGTGTATGTTAATGTGGTTATCATGCTGTATATGCTATTGTGTCTATGGTATTGTGTGTATAGCATGGTGTGTATGGTAATGTGTCTAAAGTCTCGTGTGTATAGCATGGTGTGTATGGTATTGTGCGGTTTTAATGCGGTTTTAGGAAAGGGCAGTCCTGCACAGATGCCAAATTTTCTGTCTGTCTGCTGCAGCAGAGATGTAGGAAATTCCAACAAGACCTACATCTCTGCTTTATTGACCTGGTCAAGGCCTATGATACTATCAGTAGGCCTGGGCTCTGGGTCGTTCTGCGTGCTTTCGGAGTCCCTGACCCTCTGCTCATGATCATTGAGGACCTTCATGATGGTGAGCGGGCCCAGGTAAAACTACGTGGCCGGGAGTCGGAGCCATTCCCTGTACACCTTCGGGTGCGACAGGGATGTCCTCTGGCTAACACATTATTTCACATCTATTTTGACCACGTAGTTCGTGAAGCCTTCAATAGCTGTACCGGAGGGATTTCCATCTGGTACAGATACAACGGGAGGCTGATCGATGCCCGGGTACGGTCAAGGGATGGTTCCCTATTGCTCAACCATGTTATGTATGCCGATGATCTGGTAATTGCTGCTCACTCAGAGGAGTTGGAGGCGCTGCTGCTGAACCTGGAGCTTGCCACGAAGAGGTGGGACCTTACCATCAGCCCCACCAAAACTAAGCACCTGCTTGGCATTTTGTAACATCAGACACTCCACTCCCACAACTCCCAATTGGTAATGGGGCGGTTGTGGAGAGAGTGGAGAGTTTCCCATACCTGGGCAGTGTGCTCATGACCGGCTCCGGTTTAACAGCAGAGGTCTCACTCCGAATCAGTCGAGCAGCATTATCTTTTCATCGGTTGCGTAACGCTGTGTGGAAGCTACCTGGTCTGTCGCTCCGCACGAAGCTTCAGGTCTTCTCGGCCACAGTCATTCCCTCCCTTCTCTACGCTTGCGAAACGTGGACCACCCTAATGGAACATCTTCGCCGGTTACAAACATTTAGGCTGGCCTGCCTATGATCCATCCTGGATTTAACCAGGCTGCATTGTGTGAGGAGCTCACAAATCCTTGAAAGATGTGGACAAAGTCCCATCGGTGAGCTCCTCCAGCAGGCAAGGCTGCGTTGGCTGGGCCATGTAGCCTGCATCTCCATGTACCGCATGCCTAAACAGCTTTTGTTCGGCCGGATCATGGAGGCTAAACAGGCGCGGCATAGGCTAGAGAAGAGATGGAGTGATGGGCTTTGCCTCATAGGATGGGGATGGTTTAGTTTTGTTTGTATCTGGGTGATTTGTTTACCTTTCTTGTACTTTGCACTACTATCGTGTTTGTGTACTGTTTGTTGTTGTAACGTTCTTACCCAGTGTCCCGACTGGACATCTGAAAAAAAGAGCTTTATAGCTCATCGGATTTCTCCTGCAGATTCTAATAACGTTCAAAATATCTGGGAGGCTCAACCGTGACACATAGGGAGGCGACAGAAGACTTATTTTTATCTTTTATATTCTTACGACCCTGTTGCTATGCATCGCTCTATGTTCGCCAGGGGGAAACCCGTGACAGCCCCTCCACGCCCTAATTAACATAACCACGCCCACTATCCGCCACTATCCCCGCCCACACGGCGGTGAAGTGGATTGGGATTGGCTCTCTCTCTCTCTGACTCTGGACCCCCCACCTACTTCTCTAATAGTCCCGCCCACCACGTGGGGTTGCTCCGCCTTGACTATTCGGGTGAGCCCCGCCCACGGGTGGGCCACGAGTGGGCCCCAGGTGTGCCCCAGGTGGGCCCCGCCCACTGCCCCCAGCAGCTCACCCACACTCTGGCTGCATGATGAGTCAAGTAGGATGCCAGAAAATGTAAAACTTGGGGGGAGTGGGATAAATAAATAGATCAAGAGGTGGGGGTGAGTGGATGAGGAGACACTGGGACGGGCTTTCTGAAGCCACCCAGGGGAACCGCCCAGGCCAAACCAGGATGTGCGGGTAGCCTTAAAGTCCGATCCAAAAAGCGGTCCAATCCAAAAGGGGTCCAAGCAAAAGGAAGGGGGGGGGGGGCAGGAAGAAAGGTTAGGATACATGGGTGGGGTCCCGATAGTGGGGTCAGAGTAGGTGGGGTCAGAGTTGGTAGGGTCAGAATAGGTGGAGTCAGAGTAGGTGGAGTCAGTGCAGATGGGGTCAGAGTCGGTGGGGTTAGTGCAGGTGGGGTTAGTGCAGGTGGGGTCAGAGTAGGTGGTGTCAGTGCAGGTAGGGGCCTGGCTGTCGTTACTCCAGGCTGATGTAGTCGATCCCGGGTGTGAGCAGGGGCCCTGGGGTCCACGTGCTCGGGGCGGAGGAGGGGGCTGAGGGGAGCAGGCACTGGGGCCCCGGTGGCTCCGGCGGCGCCTGTGGGAACAACCAAGGCCCCCATTGAATCAACCGGAGGAGACCATTGCTAAAGCATGGGGACTCCTCGTTCAACAATCGGCTCTTTATTTTTCCGTGTAGCTCTTGAACAGGTGGTCCTTTATTTCACCGCGAGTCTGTTTAACCACGAGGGCCTGTTATAACCACAAAGGTCATTTAGTTAAACAAACGTCAAAATGTAACTCCCAAATTACTTGATTTTGGGAAACACGGAAATCGTCCAAACTTGGCAAGACCCCATCGAACAGGACTCAGTGAAGATTTCCTGGGTACACCAGTGACAATTGTAATAATACAGCGAGCGAGCCGTTTATTTAACCAGGGAGAGCCCCTTGGGATTCATGGTCTCTTGTAAAGGAGAGCTGGGGCAGCCAGAGAACGATCAACCGATAGGAGGTTCATCACCTTGGGAGACCTGGTCCCGCACCTCCGAATAGCACGGTTGGTGATGGGCAGTACAAAAGAAGTTGAATGTACATTTAAAGAATATAACGTCGTACTCAGATTGTAAATGTTGTGGCTTGGCTCTCCAACACACCAGTGTGCTGTACTAGTAACGATTTGGCACGTTCTGTTTACGTGACAAACCTTACCAATTGGCTGTGTCAGGTGGTGGCGGGTTTAACGACACATTTATATATTTACGCAATGTAACCCAAAAAAACGATATTATGGATATAACAAAAAATATATGTCCAGATAAACTATTTATTTTATTTGACTAGATAAGGCCCCACTGAGCTAAATAGCCATTTTTTTAGAATCGACCTGGCCACAAATTATAGATCAACGAAAGTAGATTATAGTCATGTGGAAATGTATGGCATCAAATAATTAAAACGCCTGACGTTGATTTTTCTATCGGCTGGGGTCAACCCTCACACAGCAACATAATGGCCACCACACTCCCGAAGCCGTGTCATCTGAATCCCCCTCGACCCCCTCACCTCGGCAGGGGTCCTGGGAGCAGGGTCGCATTGGGCCGGGTCCGGGTCGAGTTGGGTCTGCTCCGGGTCTGGGCTGGTCACCACCACCACGAGCGGCTGGGCCTCCGGGACGGCCGCCTTGCCCGTCACAGTGCCCATGCTCCCGCCCTGCGGGGGATTAAGGTCGCAGTCAGGGTCTGGGTTAGACTTCAGTTCAGGGTGCGGCCGTGTCAGCTGTTATAGTGAGGGATGTGGGAGTTGGCTTGCAGTGCATGGAAGATTAGAGATCACACAAAGCAGCTCGCTCAGACACTCCACTGGTCACTCAACCACTCGCTCAACCACTCACTCCATCACTCACTTAACCACTTTACCACCACCTCCACCAGTCACTCAATCACTTGCTCCACCACTCGCTCAGCCACTCCACCACTCACTCCACCTTGTCGTGCGTCGTTCCCTGTGTGGGGGAGTCGATCACCGTCCCCACCTCCTTCAACAGCCTCCGGACAACCTCTCCCGGGTCCGGAACGGGGGGCCACACAGACCCCCTCAACCTGAGGTCACGGGGACACACGGTGACGAAGACAAGTGAAGAGATACACGCAGAGAGCATAGGGAGCACATCGCACATGCATTTAAACGGTACAGTGGTGCGTAGTGACGTGCGTGTGTGGTTACGAGTAGTGAGACAGTGTGTGTGGTGCGAGCGGTTCGTATGGTAATTGTGGTGCGTTGCGCATGGTAAGTGTGTGGTGAGTGATAAGTGTGGTGTATGGTGAGCAGTGGAGCAGTTAGCACGGCGTGCTGCGAACCCAGTGACCCGAGTTTGATTCCCACTCACGACCAACACCAGTGACGATTTTCTGAACCGGTCCTGGGCCTCCCCTAGGTCGACTGGGCCTCAAATGAGTACCTGGTGCAGTGTGGAAAACATCGCCACTGGGGAGACAAAGGCGGCCGGGCGTGGTGCTGGCCAGCGACCCTTTCGTGTGCCATGCCGGCCTTCATAGGTGCTCACAAACAGCACTTGCCCCAAACAGTTTGTTGAAGGCCATAGAGGGTGATCTTTGTCTTTATTTTACGCTGTGAGTGCGATGCATGTTGAGAGTTGTGTGAGTGGTGGCTGGTGAGTGCGGTGAGCAGTGTCACTCACCTGCTCCAAAAGATCACGATGAGCGCGGCTCCCAGCATCAAGAAGAAAAACATGACCCCCAGGGCAATCGGAACCGAGGGGTCTCTGGAGTATCTGACCCCTTGCCTGACTGCAGAGCAAGGAAACGTCAAATATCATCCACGCTCACCACCCAACATTCGTAATACAGGGTGCTTCAAAAATGTTTTAACACTTATATGTGACGATCGTTTTTAATGAGTGCCGGAATAAGCTAGTGCGGGGCCTGTAGCATTATGTAATAAAGGGGCCCTAAATTCAAACAAAAACACAAATATTAAAACACTAATTTTTTACTTGCATAGTAAAGTAATTGTATTTATTAATTTGCTAAACAGCCAAATAATACGAAAAATCGCTAACCTTAAACACCCAGTCGTTCATAAAAGTTGAAGGCAGTATAGTACTATAGTAATAGAGCAAGTGCAGAATCACTGAACCGAAATTGATAGCTTGAAAGCATTTAGCGCGGGGCCCTTGAAAGTGCGGGGCCCATAGCATATGCTACTTTTGCTACTAGGATAATCCGGCACTGTTTTTAATGGAAAAATAACGGACAATAACACTGTAGCGTGATAACAAATGTATGTTAACAGCTTCACAAAGTCCAAGAGTCTCCCACTTATTCACCATCGTTGTCAACGCATGCCCTGGAATCTTCTCCAGGTGGTCTCCAGAGCCTGGAGGCAGCACATTTCTTGTGGTGTTGTCGCAAATTCTCAAAAGTGTAAAAAAAAATTTTAAGCCCTCTGTAATTTCAACTTGTATTGTGCCGCCTCCGCCCTCCGGACAGTATTCGCTCGCTTGAGAAGCGAGCAAACGACTCGGAGGCGAGCGAGGAGGAACCACAGACGAGCAGGAACAAGTGCCCAAACTCTGCGGGTCCTCTATATATGAAGGTGTTATCAGCCAACCAATGAGTGATTCCACGTGGGAGAAATCCCCCACACGATCGAGGGAGAAACTCTATCCCATACAGATTTCTATTTTTTCTGTACCACCTTCTTTCGGCGAGCAAGGGCATGGCTCCTCATTGAAGGGAGTCTCACAGTATTTGCGCGGTGATCCACCAACCCCAACCCTCGTGGCACGCCATACTGATCCACACGCTGACCTCACCAATCACCACCCTCAACTCACCGCTCTCAACACTTACCACCCACACCACTCACCGCCCCCCACAACCTTCCAGTCATCAGCGCCTCTCACCACCCCGTAACCACACACACCAGCATCAGCACCTCCTCCCCATACTCATTACCACCCCCCCCCCCAATGACCCCGTTCCCCGCATGCCCCCCAATGACCCCCCCAATTACCACCCACCCATGACCCCCAATTACCCCCTCCCCCCAATGACCGGCCTCCAATTACCCCCCTACCCCCATGCTCCCCAATGACCCCCCCAGTGACCCTCTCCCCCCAGTGACCCCCTCCCTCATGTCCCCTCCCCCCAAACCCCCCCCAAATTACCCCCTTCCCCCCACCCATGCCCCCCAATTACCCCCTGGCCTCCCACCACTATGCCTCCCCTCCCACCCATTCCAACCCCCACCCCCCACGGTACGTCCCTGGGAGACACGACGCCTCCGGTGACTCAGGTGCCCCGGTGGCGGCGTGTCTAGCAGTGTGCGAGTTGTTTTGCGTGAGTGTAAACTGTGTGTGAGAATGTGTGAAAATGTGAGTGAGAATGAGCTGCGTGTGAGTCTGCGTGTGAGTGTGTGTGAGTGAGCCGTGTGTGTGAGTGAGCCGTGTGTGTGAGTGAGCCGTGTGTGAGTGGCCGTGACGAGAGGGACTTCTGCGTTCATGTGTGTGTGATGGTGGTGATGTGCACTCTGTGTGTGTGATGGTGTGGTGGTGTGGTGATGTGTGTTCGAGTGTGTGTGATAGTGTGGTGATGTGCGCTCGTGTGTGTACCTGGCGCAGCCTGAGTGAAACTTAGCTAATAGTGTACCTGGCGCAGCGTGAGTGAGGCCTAGGTAATACTGCACATTACACAGCCTGAGTAAGGCCTAGTTAATCGTGCACCTGGCGCAGCCTGTGTGAGGCCTAGTTAATCGTGCACCTGGCACAGCCTGAGTGAGGCCTAGGTAATACTGCACATGACAGCCTGAGTGAGGCCGAGTAAATCGTGCACCTGGCGCAGCCTGAGTGAGACTTGGTTAATCATGCACAAGGCGCAGCCTGAGTGAGGCTTGGTTGGTCATACACGTGGCGCGGCCTGAGTGAGGCCTGGTTGTGCACATGACACTGCCTGAGTGAGGCCTAGTTAATAGTGCAACGGACCACAAGCTGTGTTCCTACGAAGGCAACATTGCCACGGACTCCAAGCTGTGTTCCTGCCAAGGCAACATTGCCATGGACCCCAAGCTGTGTTCCTGCCAAGGCAACATTGCGACGGACCCCAAGCTGTGTTCCTGCCAATGCAACATTGCCATGGACCCCAAGCTGTGTAAATGCAAAGGCAACATTGCTACGGACCCCAAGCTGTGTTCCTGCCAAAGCAACATTGCACGGACCCCAAGCTGTGTTCCTGCCAAGGCAACATTGCCACGGACCCCAAGCTGTGTTCCTGCCAAGGCAACATTGCGATGGACCCCAAGCTATGTTCCTGGAAAACTTCATGGAGATCGTCAAGACGGCCAAGGGTCATGAATGAAGAGTCCCTTGTGTGGGCTTCAGTGGGGCCGTCTGGTCGGGCAGCAGAGACACGAGAGGCTAAGAAATGACATTCCAGTCGTGGGCTGAGCTCAAGGAGGGCTAGCTCGAGCACCATCCTACGGCGGGGAAGGGAGGCGGTGCAAGCGGTTCAGCCGAGCCCACAACAGCCAAAAATCTGCTGTCCCTGTCTGGGGGGGGGGGGGGCTGTTCAACCCTAGCACATGGGCGAGAAGCCGTGCATGTGTGACGAGTGCGGCAAGACGTTTTCTCGCGCTCGGCCTACAAGTATATATATTTTTTCTTTTCCACTTGTGTGTTAATCTGTGTTTACCACGGATATTTTAGAGATGGCAATTCTCCTGCTGTGTATCCTACTGCTGTCCCTCCCGGCCATATCTAGTGCCACACTCAACTCTACAAACAGCTACCCTCGTTACTTTGTGTCCATACTTGTTGCTCGATTTGCCACTACACCTGCTAATGAAACAGCTCATAGACACTTCTACACTCCATCATTGTATCCTTTTAAACCCCTATCTTTGTCCCATTACTTCACCAGCACTCCTTCCGAACTTAATTCTGCTCTTAAAAATAAAACCATCTGTGAGCTACTGCTATTCGTCCAAGGTTCGCCGCTCTTCATCTTTTCACAGAAAATACTTGTGCAAATTATTAATTCTACTTTTCTTATTTCTGGGTGGTATTGAGCTTCATCCTGGCCCAAATGAAAAGAACTCGTATAATTCTGTAGATTTTTCTGGCAGAAAAGGTGTTGGTGTTCTACATGTCAACATCAGAGGGCTTGTGATTAAATTAAGTGAACTAAAACTAGAATTGGCAAATCTTGACCCGGACATTTTTTGCCTAACAGAAACATTTCTCACTCCTGCCGTCAATGACTTGCAGATTGCGATTGACAACTACAACCTTCTTCGGCTTGACCGAGGATCTAAAGGTGGAATTGCCATCTATGTTCGTAATACTATTGCATGTTCACTAGCTCACTCCTTGTTTAAAAAATGTTGCTTTGCAGGTCTGGCTCTCAGAATAACTCTCCCAAATAATCAACAGATATTGGTAGTGTGCTGCTATCGACGGCCTAGTGAGAAGGATGTTGAAGCTGCATCTGCACTGAGAGAGCTTTTTGGGGGCCTCCCTAAAGGTGAAATAGTTTGTGGGTGATCTAAATTGGAATTTGCTAAACCGCCAGCCGTGGCCACATTTTGCAGATGAATTTAATCTGTTTCAATTAATAAATGTCCCCACAAGACCCAACCTAAAAAATCCGGGACAGTCATCTCTGCTTGACGTGCTATTGACAAATTCCCCTCACAATTTCACACTGACTGGTGTTCTGGGTAATAACGTTAGTGATCAATGCTTGTGTTGTGGTTATTGCAAACATGATCCCTTGTATAAAGGTGTCATTTTTTGTGCCAGATAAAAGGGTAAAAACCTATTACTATATCTTGCTACTGGCAAAGGAGATCTCATAGTATACATGCTTACCCCGAGCTCTCAATATTCTGATAATGCACTGTTTTTTGAATTGTACGCCTTTTGGCATCTTCTGGTCCAACACCAGTGGAGACTAGGCTCTAAGAAAATCTGTCTCGGGTGTGGACCAATCAATTTCAAGGACAGTGCATTATCAGAGTTGTCTCTTTTTGTTTGCATTTTGACTGCTTGTGTTGTGGTTATTGCAAACATGATCCCTTGTATAAAGGTGTCAGTTTTTGTGCCAGATAAAAGGGTAAAAACCTATTACTATCATCAGCCAGACCCAAAGCCCCCCCTAAATTGGTTGAGAAGCATTCTATGAGACACTTCAGCACTCAGGCATTTACTAATGATGTGCTTCACTCGGATATTGACAAGGTCGGTGATATCCCCAACCTGACTACGGCTTGGGAGACCTTCAGGTACACGTTTCTCCAAATTCTTAACAAACATGCTCCGTTGGTTAGATTTGAAACTAAAGGCAACCGCTCACCATGGCTTGATCCTTTGAATACAAAGTTCATGAAAACTAGG